CCACTCCATCTAAACAACCACAATTCTAGAATTCCGCGAAACCGCGTCTGACTAGTGGGTGGATTTTTAGGAGTATAGAAGTCTTAACGGGAATGGATGTACGCCTAAAACTTTAGCGATGTTTGGCTATAATTATGAGCGGCTATAGTTTCGCATAAAAATGTTTTAACAACGAGGTTGCAGTCGTGGACGGGGAGTGCCCACTGACTTGGTTGTCAGCACGGCGACACTTAGCAGACTGTGCATTAGAGCACAAACAGCATAAGGAAGCATTAATGCAACTCCCATCCATTTGCCTAAACCGACGTCTGTCAACTGCGCCCAAAAGCACCGGCGACGGTGTTTTTCACTGAACACTTAACCTCAAACAGTGTCGGTGAAAGTGTGGAGTGATTACAGTTTGGTAAAAGGTTGCGTCTGGTTTGGTAAAATGTAAGCGGAGATCGGGAAACGATGCAATATTGTCACGGAATGATTAGGAGAGCTTATTTTTCCAATCTCAGGTATTTAACTAGCTCAAATGATACTGCATGAGTCCGTAAGAGCAAAGCTATGCATAGAAACTAAAAAAGTCACGGTTGCATTGGAAATGTATGAAATAATTCGAGTTGCAATTAAAATGTAACTCACATGAGCAGAATATCTGGTCACATTGTGGAAAGTTGGTTTGCTCTCCAGCACGTTCATAGTTACAACCCCACCAGACCACCTCAGGATATTGTGAACAACGCTTACTGAAGGCTGACATGTAGCATTCCTTGGCTACTTCCAGATACCTAAAAAACGAATGCATCGCAATGATCAACGGATAATGCCTTCGCCGTTGATCAATCCGTTTTTGGGATGCGGCACGCATTCCATAGTCCAGTTCGCTGCGGGCGCAGGGGCGTGTCAGTGCTGGCGCGGTGCCAAACACGTTCTCCACCAGCCGTTGAAGCGAGCAATTGACAAGACTGTATCATGTCGTCCGTATTACTCGTTTTCTACCAACTGTTTTGGCACACCCGCTTCAAAATCCAGGAGAGAACGGGTTTGGCGCCAAGGCAACAACTCATACCTTGCCTCCCATTCCCTTTCGTCGCAAGCCGAACTAAAGCTCTTCTTCCATTTCAGAGCAGAGCCATTGTTGGCATGATCAATAAGATATGGCCTGAACACGTTCTTGTCCCCCGTCACCCCCCCCCCCACTTCCCCCGCATGGGTACTAGTTTGCCCCTTCCCTCCTCCCTTCCGAGGGTGAAGCGGCTCATGGCGCTGTCTTGCGTCGACCGGCCGGGGGGGGAAAGGGGGAGCGCATTGCCACTTTGACGACTTCCATCGCATGCTGTGGCGACCACATCTAGACAGCCTCTTCTTCGCGAGTTGACAGGTTTTACGTACGCTCCAGCTTCACAAGAGTTCACAGGTTTCACCAGAGTGAGACTTGTAAACCAGAACTAGTGAAGCAACGAAAGTGCAAAATGCCCCCCTCTCCGTCGGCATTACCGCGCCAGGCTTAGTTGTCCTGGATGGGAGGTTATCCAGGACTTGACCTCCGAAACGTAACCACTACTATGGGTGGGCTAAGTGACAAGTGGCGTAGTCAGTAACAAGTGCAGTACCACTACATTTCCCCGCCCAGCAGTAAAATAGGAGAAAGAAGCCGGTCAGCATGGAGCTGTTCATTCAAAAGTTCCAGAGGAGGTTGAGTTGACGCAATAACCTCGTAATCTTTTCTAAATGATAGAACGTGTGTGACAAGGGCACTCTGAGCTCTGACAAAGCTTATAGCTCTGATGCCATTGTCTACGCTTGTAGTGCTTATTATAGCGGTTTTGTGCTTGTGCCCCTCCGGCCTCCGTATGAGGGAGCGCGTCTCGACGATATGCCGCTCACCGAGGAAGCGAGAAGAGTTTCCTTCGCTACTGCCTCTACACACCGGTTAGAGGATCAAAGGAGTTTGAAGACTGTGTGACAGTTTCTTCAGTTGCACATAGAGACCATGCCGACTTTTGAGGTCAAACGAAGGGTCAGAACTGGTCTGTCAAAACACGATAAGCAGCCTCCGGCAATAAAACTCACGCGCATCGATTCATGACATTTGAGTCCTTTTTAATTTGAAGCTGCAAAGTTGCTATCACATGCCCTCATATCGGCGGTACCGGTAAGAAAAACGGTCGACGCACATTCGTTATTGGCAAACTCTAAACCAGTGCTTCGTACCAATATTTTGTTTCACTATAAGGAGAACTTACCGGTGTAGCCAGCGCCGCAAGAGAAATCGAATTGATTGAAGATTTTCGTGTATCCGAGCGCTTGGTACTCCGTTATTCCAGTAGCTGTTCTGCAATTCCAAAATGTTTTAAGTGTTGGGAAGTCTGGACAGTAAAATGAATACGGTCCTTGGAACGCACCGTAGCAGAGCCAAGCGAATAAAAATGAGCCTAGGGGCATAAGGCATGATAATTTGGTACTTGGTCAAAAATGGTGGCTGGGGCGCTCCATACACAGGGGGAAGAAGAAAAAGGAATTGGAACGGTCGAGAGATGCGGAAAACCCTTGTTCTGCATAATGGTAAGCGAATATCCCGTCAGCCCAGAGCAATTCTGAAGCAGTTTTTTTTCTGGCAATGCGCCAACCACCGCGGCAATCCATATTACAGGTAAGGTTTCCTTCATCATTTGATTCATATTGTTCCACCGTTGTTGTTTTGGTATTCTTTCAGAGAAGATCTTTCAAACCTTTTCCATTTTCAGGTCATCGGAACCTATAACCATCCACGACGAGGGGGGGGGGCGTTATGGACTGCATCAGGTTCTACGAGTGATTGTGTAGCGCAGCAGTATAAACATCACATTCGTATCATTTTCAATTAGGTTTCGTTTTCGCTTAACATCCGTGTCCCACATCACGATCACCGACAACCTTCGTACATTCACTATCAGTCAAAGCCGGGTCAAGACGTAGAATGAGCCGAGCCGCGGCCTTTTCACTACTAGTTGTTTTCTTTCTGTATTAATCACAGAGCGATCGCAGTTGGTGGAGAAGTCTCTAGAGAGCGGTTCACTTTCCGAGGGCACCTGACCTTTCCTTTCGGTTTTCTCGCTCACCTTCTATGTGACGAAACAGGTAAAACCAGTGAGCATAACAAACACTAGGGAGGTCCTCATTTCATCAATTTCGACGCGCTGGTACGTGTGCTGCATGTGCAGGGGAGGGCAAAAAAAGACACTTTGGCCAGGTAGCATATCAGTAAAGTTTACGCAGCCCAGATAGAAGACGTGGATACGAGTACCAGGGCGGAACCCAAGATGTTCTTCGATAAGCAGGAGCAGGCTCTCGTCCATCACCTTCATGTGCACCAAAATATGAAGCCATCTGCATTCGCAGCCGAACTGAAGAAGGCCTATGGATTTCACGTCAACTCCTGCGGCTGCGAAACTTCACCTCCAAACCGCTGCGAAACTTCTTGTATCCTCACCCATGGACAGCTACCTGGAGACCAGCACTCTTGATCTGGAAGACCTCCAACATCGAGCAGCTCCGACAACGTCGCTACGGTCCAGGATATCATCTTCACCGCAGTCGCCAAGGCTCGGTTGATGGTATGGGCCGGAAGTTCCTGGAATGGGAAGACCGATATTTTCTTCGTAGACCCCGGACTGAAAGTGAAGGCTGACGGTTACATCAAACAGCTCGAGGAGAATGTCCTGCCTTCATTTCGCCTCCTATACCATCTTGAAAACTTCGTACGGCTGATTGGGTGCCAATACATGGAATCGAAAAACTATCGCCTACTTGGAATCTACTTGGAATCGAGGGGCGCTGAGTACTTGGAGAAGACGGAGTATAGTGTGTCACCTATCCTAAACTCCTCGATTCCAGGTTCGGGAGGAGCTCAACAGGGTGGTGTACAGTGGCGGAGAAATCAGCGACCTCGCTGAACCTAGGCACCGAATCAAGTTCGCGTGGTAGAACTCTCGTATGCGTACTTTCCAGGAAGGTCTGTGGCGGAGGGGTATGTGACAAGAGGATCGTAATTTGCCGCGCTGCTGGGCGTCGCGTGCGACGTCCCCCGCAAAGGACGATGGTTTCAGGCAGTAGATGGCGACAACATGCAATTAAGGACCGAAAAACAGTAATGAGTGTCTACGATGACGGGGTCTACATGAAGTCCGGTGCTTCATTCGACAGGTTAAAACGAGTTATGAAAACGCCGCGCCCATCGCCGCGCGTGGCGGTGCGGCGAATTACGATCCTCTTTACCGTCTCCCGTGGCGGAGTATCGTGATAGTGTACAATTTTTTGTTGAATATGATGGCAAAAATGTCCAGTTAGAATCTGATAAAGTGTAACTTGGCCCCACCACGCATGGAGAAGCCTGAAACCACCCTAAAGAGCCCGTGGCAGTGGGCGACTTCACAGATCGCCTATTCAGTAAGCGGCTTCCCTTCCTGCTAGGCATTTCGACCCTGGCACAGAAGTTTTATCGCGCCTTATGCCTTCTAATCAGGTCAAAACATCGAGAAAATTCAAAATAATGTTACCCGTTCTGATCAACAAGTAATCCAAGAGGATTGTTGGCACAGTCAGCATAGTCGTTGCGATTGCTGAAAGTTCACTTGTATATTCGATGTAAATAATACAGTAACGAATAAGTATAAAGCTTTTGATGTTGATTAATTCCATTTGGGTATGCGCCATGCACTCTTCTTCCATTCAGAGTAGGGTGACTTTCCGTTAATCATTACGCACGCATAGGCGCGCTACAATACAGCTGAATCGGAGTGTGGTACAATCCGCAATAAGTAAGCAGTATGAAGACACAAAATAAACAACAAGGCAAGTTAAAACACTGAACTTTAATATACACTATTTAAAAAACCTTCAGACTCAAGTTATCACAAGAGTGCTGAGTTATGGG